GCCTCTGTCTTTTCTCCTTTTTTTTTTCTAAAACATGCTGTTTCTGGAAAGCAGATTGACAGAGGCATAAATAGTCAACAGGGCAGGCGTTTTAACTCGGGTTGCTCTACATGTCTTTTTTGCTCTTTTCCTGTTGTGTGCCCCTCAGTAAGAGGATGGCCTAATGATCTTTAAAGTCATAATTCCCAACTTTTACAACTAAATTAAAAAAAAAACTTCTATGCTAAGCACTTTTACAAGTTGATTATATGTCTCAACCTACATTCCTTCAATCACGAGGTCCCAAGAAATTCTTCTGCTGCAGGTGAAGATGTTGATGATGTGTCTTTATTAAAATAGTGCTTGGTGCTAGGCCAGTGACAGAGTGCTCGAAACAAAAAAGCCATTTATTACGAAAGGTGTCACCAGTGACTATCTTGAAGATGATACCTTTCTGTACTACAAAAATCTCTCATTTCAAAATAAAAAGAGAAACTTACAGTACAGTAAGATAACCTTCATGATATTTCTTTGTCCTTGTCTGCCTTTGCGCAGCCTTTGCAGAGCTGCAGACGGACATCCATGAACTCACCCAGGAGCTGGATGGAGCAGGAATCCCCTTCCTGGACTACCGCACCTACGCCATGAGGGTCCTCTTTCCTGGGATTGAGGACCATCCTGTGCTCAAGGAGATGGAGGTACGGGTCAGTAGAGAACGGCCCACACATACACACACACACACACACACACAGAATGAGTGAAAGTTGTACTGTGTCTTTGTGTATGTGATTAGAAATGCATTGTTTGAAGAAGAGCTTTTAAGCAAGGACTTTGGTGAATAATTGGACGAAAATGACAGAAATTCATCAAAATCAACATTTGGACTATGATTAGAAGGAAGTGTTTTTGTTGGGATTGAGAAACTTGGGTGAGAACAATGTGTGTGTGTGGAAGAAAAAGCAAAGCAAATATCCAGTGGAGATTTTTGTTTTGATATGCAGGTGTGACAGAAGTTTGGTTAGTTTTTTCTTTTCTACAAGAATTTCTACAGCTTCAAAAAAATAGTTTTTTGAATTTAGTTCTAGCTGTACTAGACTTTGATCCATAGAGGATTTAGAACAGTGAAATTCTCTGAAAACATTCATTCATTCATCTTCTATACCACTCAGTCCCAAACGGGGTCGCGCGCGGGGGGACTGGAGCGAATCCCAGCCGGCAATCGGGCGAAGGCAGGTTACACCTTGGACAGGTCACCAGTCCATTGCAGGGTCAACACACAGACGAACAACCATTCACACGCACACATTCACTCCTACGGGCAATTTAGAGTCACCAATCAACCTAAGCCGCATGTCTTTGGACTGTGGGAGGAAGCCGGAGTACCCGGAAAGAACCCACGCAAGCACGTGGAGAACATGCAAACTCCACACAGAAAGGTCGCAAACCCACAACCTTCTCACTGTGAGGCAACAGCGCTAACCACCGTGCTGCCCCTCTCTGAAAACATTGCAGTGAAAAACACTGCAATGTTTAAACTTATAAGTGAAACTCTTGAAGCACTTGATGGTGGAAACACCACCAACTTTGAACTACTTTACCCAAAACAAAAACTTTACAGACTAATGTTATGCCGCTGTGTTATCACACGAATCAGAGGTGTGTATAAGATAGCTGTCATGTTCACCAGCCTCATGGACCAGGGGTTTAGACTGGAAGCAGGTTCAAGAAAATAAAACGTGGGCATAAGAAGTTCTCAGGGCAAGCTCTAGATTTGTGATGCAATACAATGAAGGGACGGTTTTTGGGGAATGAGCAATGCCTGAGCTTCACTAAGACTTGTACAAGTGATAGATTGCCTCTGCAGGCTTGAGGCTCCTGAAAAAGCAATGTTCACACGTTCAATAAAACACTCTCCCCTCCACTACTGCTCGTTTCTCAAGAGGGAACACACTATCACTCACATGAACCCGGGCTGCGTGGACACTGTTGTGCAGCGTGCGCACACACTTCCATCATTTCTCTGAATACTCACTCTCTCACACATACATCACATGGAGATACACGCTGACATGCATGCAAGGTGGCAGCTGCAGGTACAGGGCTTTGAGACATGCAGTATCTACTTGTGCTATCAATTGTATTCCAAAGGCATAGTGTAGTGTGACATTGGATTTTCATTTGTATGGCCCATGCAATCACAGGCTATAGTAGTGTGCTAGCAGGCAGATCAATTTCTTATTACAGCATGAAGCTCACATTCTCACTTCAAACCTTGGTCTCTCGCCCTCAGAGGAGGCCTGGCGGTTGCTGTGAGAGAGGAAGGGAGTTGGTTGAAAGGGGAGGCAGTGAGGGATGGAGGGAGGTATAGAGAAAGAACTGGCAGAAATGAGGGAGCACTGGGGCCATAATACTGTAGGTAGAGAGGCAACAGTGCAAACCTTGAAAATCTTGTTTTGTGTATGTAAGGAGGCTGGGCCAGTGTCAGCATGATTTTCCCTATAGTATGAATTGCAGATATGTGTGTGAGAATGTGTGGCTGTTTTTCCAGTGTTTCCTTCATCTAATATTCCTCATTCTCACACATGCTCATTAATCCATTTCTCAACTATAACTCACAACAAATTCTGAACCTCTTTTTCCACCCCTGCCATGATCTTTTTATATCTTCATTCACTTTCGTTTTTCTTGGCTTGAATCTTTGTTTGCCTCCTCTTCTTGCCTCTGTTCTCTCATTGCTTCTCCCTCCCTGTCACCCATTTGCCTCCTTCTTTTACACTACCTTCATTAATTCTTATTCTGTGCCTCCCTTTCATTTTCTCTTTGCCATGGCTATGTTTCCTCGGCCCCCTGCCTTTCCCACCCTCGCCTTTCCACCTGATCCTTTCCATCATTACCCTGTCCCCTCCCCTCCAGGTTCCCGCCAACATGGAGAAGGCCCTGACATTGTTCGGCCAGCTGCTGACCAAAAAGCACTTCCGGCTGACCTTCATCCGCACCCTGGAGGCACAGCGGTCCTTCTCCATGCGAGACCGGGGCAACGTGGCCTCCCTCATCATGACGGCGCTGCAGGGGGAGATGGAGTACGCCACGGGCGTCCTTAAGCAGCTCCTGTCTGACCTCATCGATAAAAACCTGGAGAGCAAGAACCACCCAAAGCTCTTACTCAGGAGGTACAGAAAGAGGGAGGGTGGGTTGAAAGTGGCTCAGATTCTGCTCAAGAACTTGTCACACATGCACAGACAGTTTCCCCACTGGGGGGTTCAGGTTTGAGGTTACATACCCCTGTGTGTGTTTGCAGACATGCTGAGGCCTTAGTTTAACACAGACTTTGTCCTTGGGAAGGAGCACCTTGACTACATAGCCTTCGTAAAAAGAAAAACAACTAAAAAGTTCTGTTACATTTCATTGTCCCTGTTTTTCTTACCCTTCTGTTGTCATGGCAGCGAAAATGAACATGAAAAACAGAAAATGATAGAAAATAGCAGATAATGAGAATATCCAGTGATTTGTTTTTCCATCTGCTGCTGAAGTTTGGGAGCAGCAAGGTAGGGAGAAATAACTCTAGCTTTTAGAAACGTACTGTATGTGTGACTTTACCTCATCTCTATCTCTCAGCCCTGTCCTTGTCAGAGAGGATTACACCCCTGACCGCACACACACTCCCAATGGAGCTGCAGTCAGATGCAGCTCTCTCTCTCTCTCACACACACACACACACACACACACACACACACACACACAGTGAGAAAAGTAGGAGGAGGAAAAGAAGGTGAGGTGAAAAGGCAGTGAGAGAAAGGTGGATGGAGAACAGGAAGGGAGGAAAATGGTGATTGACAGAAAGAGAGGGCAAAATGTCTAGAGGGAGATTTAGCCTAGAAGCAAATTGATGTAGGGAGAAACATGAGGTGAAGAGGAAGAAAGAAAAGAGGAAGGAAGGTAGGTAGAAAGGTGCCATAGAGAGAGAGAGTAGATAGGACAGAGTAAAGAGAAGAGAAAATGAGCTACTGCAGACGAGAAAGATACACGTATTTAAGGAAAGACACAATTAGAGAAATGGCCTGTCTCCAAATAAATTGGAATTAGACATTAAATGATAAAAAAGTTATGCTTTTTTCCCCCTTCTCTTTCTCCTCGGAGAGATATTTAATTAAAAATCTAATCAAATAAATGACTCTCAGCCAGTGTGCCTGTGTGAAGTCTTTTTCAATCCCCTGTTGGGGCATATGGTCACAACACGCCGTCCCTGCTAACTACACTAGCCTCAGGAGCTGTTGTTAATAAGCTCGGCAATTATTACACATGGATCACCGTGTTTTGGTCTTTTTACTGCAACAGATAGGCTTCAGGATGTTTTATTTTTAGATGTATACATGGCAAAGGACAGACAAAGACTCCTGTGTGGATTTCCATTCCCTGTGGTGAAATGATGGTCTTGTATTCGGCGGTGGGTTAATCTGCACATTATAGGCTCACAGTCACTGTGTGATCAGTGAAGCTGCATTGCTCCCCTTTCCTGTGGGATGTTTAAAAACTTTGGAATGATGGTTACTGGGATGAAATGATGCTACAAGTCGCCCACTATCAACTCCTGACATGCCCAAAAGCATGTTCTGTCCAGGTGTATTTGCCTCCTTCGTCCTCCAACACTCTGTTCCCTGTTGCCTCATTTTTCAGACCTTCATATTTCGCTGAAAGCCTTCTCCATGTACATCACAAGCAGTCAATCGGGGAAGCTTGCAGGAGCGTAGGAGTTCACTTCTCATTCCTACAGGCCTTTGTTGGTTTCACTACCACATTGGCCTAGTTTCCTGTGTTTTCCTTTATTCCCTTACTCTTCCTCAGTTGTCATAAAAAAGGTTTTCTTCGCAAAGTTGACAAGAAAACATCGTCTTATTCTCTCATTTCTCAACAGAATGTAGCTGTCTTTAGCATTTTCACAAAAAAGGCAAATATTTACAAGAAGCGTTGGCTGACTGAGCCAGTTAGAGAACCCAGTAACCTAGTGTCCTGTCAGTTAAGGTCCAGAAGTCCCCGGTATATCCATCTCAGAGAAAACAAGGAACAGGTAATTAAACTGTTTTCCTGTTTCTCTTAATGTGAAAAGGAAGGTTGGTGGATAGCAAGCAGGTAAATCTAAAGACATGGATAGAAAGGAGAAATAATATGTTTTTTCTTCCTGCTCCCCCGCCTTAGTACTGGTTTCCCTTTCAGCTGTTTTTCAAATTAGATGCAATAGGTCCTTTAATTACAATGCCTTTTAATTGCTCTGTTTTCAGCTTGTTGTTCACGTGTGTCTGCACGAGAGCGTCCACACGCAGAGGTCCCCCTCATTACACGGCACGTTTGTGATTAACGAGAGAAGTTAGCAAATTATACTAATTACTGTATTCTTAATGAAGATGACTGAGTTTGCTTGGAGGGGTTAAATATGAAGGGGAGGTGAAACAAAGAAAGAAATGGAGGGGCTTGTTTCACCAAGTTAATTTGCAGGTGGGGGGTGAAGGAGAGCAGGAAAAGGGATATTTGACCCCTAACTGCATCCTCTGGTTTTCTAATTCCATTATTTCCCTTTCACCCGCACCCCGTTCTCTCTCCCCCTTCCTTTCATCTCTCCCCAAGGACGGAGTCGGTCGCTGAGAAGATGCTCACCAACTGGTTCACCTTCCTGCTTTACAAGTTCCTTAAGGTAAAACTGTCCGTCTCACACCCACATGCAGACATGCACATCATACATATCTTTTGATGCAATTCTAATACAGCTGGTGTTTGAGAATAGAAAAGAGCCTCACTACCACACACACACACACATGCACACATGCACAGCTGCAGCATTAGATAAGGCAGCTGTAGCAGGCTACCTATCTTTTGCCTTTACTTTTTATGAGGTAAATTCTCCTTTCTTTGAATGGAGGAATCAGCAGAGTCTGAAGTGCTGTTCAGACACAGCTGATCATGATGTTGTGATTGCTGGTGCACATCATACTAACCTGTCCTCTCTTCGAGTCCCTGACTGGATTCTCAAAGAGCAGGAAAGTGTGTGCGTGTGTGTGTGCTTGCATGTGTGCCTGTGTTTATATCCCCCTTCAGAGCTTTGGGGCTTAGCAAAAGAGGAAGCCAGAGATCTTACACAAACGCATTCTCTCGTTTCCCTGCCTCTGTCTGTATGTTTTCTTTCTCTTTTTGAATTCCTCTCCCTCTGATATGGAATCAGAGGGAATTATTGAGGCTTAAACTGTGCTAAATTCTTGTTTCCGCACACACATTTTGCACGTATAAACATTGCTGCAGCTAATCAGTTAGCAGTGGGGCCTTAAGCCCCCGCCAGGACAAGCATTCTGGTGTGGACAGCAATCCGGCCAAGCCCCTGGGGGTCTCAGTTAGCATCTGTGTGTGTGAGTGTGTCAGTCTGAGTATGCATGCATGTGTGTGTTTTGGCTCCAAATGCGAGACAAAACAGGCAGAGTTGGGTTCAGAGCAGAGGAGTGGGTTACCATAGAAGCTGTTTGAGATCTTTTATAACAACTGGGTTTATGAACTTCAGACAAGACAAAAACAAGAGAGAAAGGACAGGAAAGGTGGTAAACAGTAGTGAAAATATGGGCAGGAGTGGTCGTACTGGGATGAGAGGGGGCAATGGATGAACTAGGGAAAATGACCAATGTTAGTAAAGACTTGCTGTAGCTAGCAGCAAGGTTACCAGCCTAGCTTTTATCCAGCCTCTGCAATTCAGTGCCTTCTCTTTCTCTCGAGTTTTAAGGGGTCACATAAAAGAAAGGCCTGTAACAATTTCAAGGTTCAGCCAGGTGTGAATAGAGATGGTCTGAAGGGTGAAGGTCAAGCAGTGGTTCAGAAGGAGGAAGGAGATAGAGCTTTCACCTACCAAAGGGAACAGGTATAAGAAAGAAAAATCCTTTTATCCGTTACACTATTCTAAGGGTTCACTTGTCCTCCTTTGCACTGGCTTGTTTGAGAGTGGAGAGCAGCAGTATAACTCTGTTGCACCCTGTATGCTGCTTTGGGTAAAATGTGACAATGCTGTGTAAAATTACATCTTTAAATTCTGATAAAATTAAGAAAAAGGATGTAATGGATGGCAACAAAACACTGAAGTCAAAACAGCACGGCAAAGATAAATGTGCGGTCGATTTGGCCCTATCACAAACACAGTATGCAAGTACTGCTTTTTCACTCTGGTATCATTTGAAAGAGACAGAAGGGTTGAGAGGCAGCACCGAGCTGCTTTGTATGCTGCTAGACAGAGAGGACGTCTGCCGGTGTGCTGTGTTTTCTCCATAGGAGGCAGGTGGTGCTAGATTATCCCACAGAGTTCATCTGACAGCTCACCAAGATAACTGACATGTGCCGATGCATGAACATGCCCAACTGAGGGGCAGAACTTGAAATACGTTTCCTTTGTCTCCAGCCACAAAGTTTCATATTGAAGGAGAACAATGTGAATCAAGGGTTAAACAGTATTCATTTGAGACCAAGAACATTTGAAAATATCTGTGACATGAGTAATGGCCACCTTTGTAGTGATAATTCCAGTTTGCTCCAATTCGGATCTTTTTTCAGTTTTGCACCTTAGTTTTACCCCCGAAGTAACTGATGAGCTCTAAGAATACAACATCATAACTACAGTAAGCTTTGGTAAACAAACCAACCGTGACTCGTAACATTTCTGACGTGTTGCACTTTAAGATTAAACTTTTGTCCTCTAGTGCATGTATGTGAGTTGAGAGCAGGTTTAGTCAAAAAGTGAAGTTCCCATCTTAGGTTGTTTATTTGAACAAAGGCCTGAAGGTGATACAGTGTTTTACAATACCCATGTGGATGACCATACCGTACTTTGTAGATCTTGGTTTTTATTTTTAGTCAAGCAAAAAATAATTTAATGTGCAGTAGATATGTTTCTTTACTTATTTCCCATCTTGACTGATCTAAGCCATTTACCTGAATATAAAACTGAAAGTTGGCCCATATGCAGTATAAGTGGTAATGCATCATTGCACACAACCAGACTGTAGCATATATTGTACTGCAGGTCAAAGCTGAAGCAGAATTCAGGCATGTGATAGATGTTTATAGCAGACACATTATGTAAGAATTTTATTTTTTGCCTTTGTTTTTCATTTCAAGTCAGTTTTGCTAACCTGGAGGTTACTTTAAAATCAGTTTGGTCCTCACAGTGCTCCTGCTTCGTGTCCGATCTGACTTCTGATTCCTTGCTGAGTGCAGTGTTATTATTGCAAGCAGGAAAATGGCTACTACTACAAAAATAAGACCCAAGTTGTAATAAACCAGAATTACCTTTTAAAGAGGAGCCGAGACGTAGTGTGAGCAGACGGTGCCTAGTCGGCAGGCCGGCAGAACGATGGAGTGAAAAAGAGAGACAGGGGCCCAACATCCCAGCGCTCGTTGCCTGGTTGACACGTCTCGCACACCAAAGTGCTTCTCGAAGCGTTTTTCACCCCTCAGTCGTTAACCTTCTATTAACTCCTCCATCAATTGCCACTCACTCACACTCACACTTTCTCTGATTTCTCTCCTTCCTGCTCCCTCACTCGCATACACAGAGATTTATAAATGGTGTTTTTCCCCAAAGAAGAGACACAGGGGAGAGACTTGAGTATGTGAGAGAAAAAAAATAGCATGCGTGTGTTGTGCTTTGTCAATTTTCAGCACACTGTTAGCCGACGTGGGGCATGGCCTCGTCCTTTACTGCTCTGCCTCTGGTTGGCTTAAAGAAGATTAGAAATATAATTGGAGAGTTGCTCAGCAAAGCTGTGCACTTTTTGCTGTTGTGTACATTTTTTAGTTTTGTAGATTTCTTTTTACCTGTCTCGCTTCCTTTCCTCCTCTTTCCATCCATCCTCTATGCGCCTTTTCACGTCTCCCCATCTCGCTCTTCCTACTTCTCGCCCACCTCTTCCCCTGTTTCCAGGAGTGTGCCGGTGAGCCGCTCTTCATGCTGTACTGTGCCATGAAACAGCAAATGGAAAAGGGGCCGATAGATGCAATCACAGGAGAAGCTCGCTACTCCCTGAGTGAGGACAAACTCATCAGACAGCAGATTGACTACAAGACTTTGGTCAGTATACACACATACTAGTGAACACACACACTTGGCCCACACCTTTGTTGTTGTAGGCGAGTGTAAAACAGACATACAGTAGATAAAGCACATTGCTGCATGTTTAATATCTGTCCAGTGTTTTGGGTCAGTCTTGCACTTGTTGGCTATCTTCAGCTCTATAAATATCCTAAGCTTTGTGATCTAAACCAAATAGGTAAGTAAATAAATAATGAATAAAATCTAATCAATGAGAAGCCAACAGGACATCTGATTCTGATTAACTTCAGAATAACTGTAAAAAAAAATAAAAATGGTGTGCAGTGTTCCGCAGTTAAAAATTGGTTTTAAACTGCTATATAAAGTATTGGTTTGCCGGTCAGAAATCATTGTAGGGGTCATGCTTTCCCACATCAATAATAAGCATTCCCAGTTTGTGCTGAATGCCTGGTCTAAATGTGACCTGTGCCTTTTGTTCTGTGCCCCGTGTCTCTGTAGACGCTGCACTGTGTGAACCCGGAGAATGAAAATGCTCCGGAGGTGACAGTGAAGAGCCTGAACTGTGACACAGTGACGCAGGTGAAGGAGAAGCTGCTGGATGCTGTGTACAAAGGCACGCCGTACTCGCAGAGACCAAAAGCCTCAGACATGGACCTGGGTAAGGAGAGGAAGGACTGCCACACACACTGAGTATAGACTCAGAGCAGAGGTGTATTACTACAGGGGGTAAAGGAGGATTCATTTGAAGGGTTCTCTGAAGCCGGAGGGGGCCCTTCAGACAGGAGAGGTGATTCTGTAGAAAAATAAATTCAAGTGAGGAGCCAAACGTGACTGCATTACAGCCATTATAAAGCTGTAGTAAGTCAGCTATCTGCATTCTTCATCACACCACTGTTCGAAGAAGGGCCCTTTTTGGGCAACTGATTGGTGTGCCTATGGAGTACATTTCCTATTTTATCACCTTATTAAACTAACATACACAACCTTATCTGTATCTGCTCTGTGTGTCTGTGTGAGACAGAATGGCGGCAGGGCAGGATGGCTCGCATCATCCTTCAGGACGAGGATGTCACGACCAAGATTGACAATGACTGGAAGAGACTCAACACACTGGCTCACTACCAGGTACCCCAGGACAGATCATGTGGTACCCTTTGTCTTGTTTTAGTTGCATGTTCTTGTTGTGTTCTAATTCATAGTTAAGGTTGTTATTGTGTCACTGTTTAAGGTAGATTTCAGCACAGTAATACAATGAAGCAGTTGTTATATTTGTTCACAAATGTTCATACTTGTTGCCAAATAAGATGCACATAAGTTTTTTTGTTAAATGGAATATTTGAAGTCCCCAAATAAAGAATTAGAAAAGAAATTGGAGCCCAGTGATATTTTGCAATGTTACTGCTTGGACATTTTTGTGCTGTGATAACTGATCTTGAAAATCAAATTTCAGGTGACAGATGGCTCAGTGATCGCCCTGGTGCCTAAACAGAACTCAGCCTACAACATCTCCAACTCCTCCACATTCACTAAGTCTCTCAGCAGATACGGTACGAGAGAAGGTGTGTGTGAGTGGTTTGTATGCGTGTACGTCGGTGTGTACAAGTTGTACGTATGCGTCCACTCATTTCAAACCGTATGTGCAAAGGCATTTTCAACATGATATTAGTAATAGCAAAATGCTTTTATTAGATTCAAATGAATTCTGACTTTATTTAAATTTTCAAAAAGGCCATGCTGCTAACAGGAAGAGCCATCAGTCAAACCACTGAATACTCATAATATGATAATGTGATGTTTGTCTGTGTCATCTCTGTAAACAAACTTGTTCTATGTTGTTCTCTGGCACCATCTATTCAACCGGTTTGCATAGACTGGGGTTCAGTTCAAGAGCTATTCAGTTTATATACAGTACATTATAAACCTGCACATTGCTCCCACTGGAGCTGCTGTTAAAATAAAATCATATGCAATGCACACACACCAAGAATCATCGACTCACTTTTGCTGTAGTCGAGCACAGAAACGTTCATTATCAAGAAAACATTTCAGCCAAATTACCATTTCTGCAAAAATTCCCATCGTCTGTGCCCCAAAGGATGGCAGGCACGACAGCTGTCAGCAGCACAGTTTGACATCGAGTAGAGTGGCTAGTTCTGTGTCGGCGCCTAGCTGCTTGCTGGCTTTGCAGCTCCTTTACTGACAACCCCAGTTGCTGCTCACTTCTCTCTGTTTTTGTCTGTGTGATCCCCCTTGCGCCTGGCGTACAGTACTGTACATAGTTATTGTGTAAAGCAGATACAAGACTAATTAAAGACTTACACTGCAGATAATCAGAGAAATGTTTTGCCACATTAGCAAGCTGTGAATGAGGTTGATTTTCAGTCCACATACTGGAGCCATTTGAATATAAATATTGTTCCATGTGTGCGCTCAGCCAAGAAATCACACAAACAGGTGTCAGGTACCAAAGAAAACAAGACTTAACACCTGCACAGTATAGCCCACGTTAGCTGCTTCTTGTCCTGTTGTACTCTGCCATGTGTGCCTATGGGTAAATCCCAATTCCCATAATTGTATCCACATTTCCCTCACTTACGTCTGTTCCTTGTGTCTTAGTCCCACCCATGTACGGTATGAAGGAAAATAAACACATTTAATGAGACATGAGCCTTCCTTTCCTCCAATTTCCTCCGATCCTTCATTCAAAACATACAGTCACCAACTGATTTTCGATAAAGGGGTGTGTCAGTCCTTAAAAGACTTGCTTTAAGGATGCTTTCATGGATCCTCGCTTATGTCTCCCTCAGACCAGTGGTCCCCAACCTATCACTGCGGACCGGTCAACGCTTGACAATTTTACTGCGGCCCGGGGGGGGGGGGCGTAGATTGTTTATATTGCAAATATAATAATAAATGTGAATTCACTGTGTACTTGTATGCAACTTTATTAGCAGCTTCCTCGTAACATTGCGCCAACAACATAACATGAGTATAACATCAAAGTCTCAGTTTTCAGTGCTGTGGT